CTAGTAAAGCGTCAAGAAGAATTAAGAATTCTGGATCTGCTTCAACTCGTGAAGATTAAGAGAAAAATCTGGACGACTCTCTAAATTTATAAATATTATTACGAAAATGGATCCAATTCTCTTCGTATAAAAAGGAAACGAATCATAATTCTCCTGTATAAAAATAATGGAAACTAATCAGTGTTGCTCAAAAACCGATAAACCTTGACCTTTATCATCTCGCCGCCTGTCCATCCATCCCAGCCCCGTCGAAACGTGGCGCAACAGTGTGTTTGTAAGTGTCTCGTACACGTGCGTTAATCCGTTGCATTTAAACGCATAAAGTTGAGCTCGGTCGGTGAGCCGTTAATTAGCTTCCTCGTCACGGACGCACCGGCATCAAATGGGATGAACAACGGTGGATCGTATCCACCTTTCCTCGCCAAGTAACACGTACACGGCGGATTCGAACGATACACCGTATAAACGTGGGAGGGAAAAGGGGGGGGAAGAATTCGAGAGATCCAGAAACTCTCCTGCACAATCGTTCGTGCACGTTCGGCCAGCTGTCACAGGAATTTGAAATATTTCGAAAATTGGCCACGGCGTTTCCCCGCGTCTCTTGCGGTCTCGAGGGGGATGATTATGTTAACTCGACGGTAGGGGGTGAGGGTTGTACAGGTTGTTAACTTTAGTTGCGTTGTTATTCGTGGTATAGTTGTGCGGTCGTCGTTGTGGTTATTGCGCACGGGGGTGTGTATCCGTGTTTTGAATGCTTTGGTAATTGGCGAGAGGAATTGAAAGTTGAATTTCGTGGAATTTTTGGGGAAATCTTTTTTTTTTCTTGTTCTTTTTTGGAGCAGACATGATCGTGTTTCGATAATTTTTCAATATTGAATCGGTTTTAATCCGATTCGAATTTTCGACGAGCAAAAATCTCGGATAATTTAATTTAATTAACTTAAATCGCGACGGTGGAAGTTTTGATCTTGAATTTTGGAACGAAATTTTGCTACGTATTTTATTCTCAATATTCAAGCTTGAGATAGGTAAAGGATTATTTGGCGAGTTAATTGTAAATAGAGAAATATCTATAAAATAAGTAAAGATGTATCTGTAATATTTTTCAAATTTAGATTTTGAGTGAATTTGATATAAATTTTGAACATCAATCCATGCAAATCCTTGGAGATCAAGCTCAAAATTTCATCGAGCCTATCTCCCTTCTCCCTTCTAAAAAAAAAAAAAGGAGCAGATTTGGTCAACAACGAGATCCGAAACAGAGGTTTCAACTCGGTCCCTCGATTGTTTCCTTTTTCATTGTTGTTTGCCCGCCACTAGCCGACAATTGATAGGCAACCGAAAACATTCCACTCTGTCCAATTCCGGGCCAGCTTGCAGCCACTACTCTGCATTCCAAAAGTAAGCCCGGGAAACAGTCGCTTGTTTCTTTGTTAATTAACGACCGTTTAATTACCCGGGCTGAAATTGGCCGCCGCCGGGGCGAACGATGACGACTCGTAAATTCGTTCAATTTTTTTTTTTTTTTTTTTTTTTCACCCCCCCCTCCCATAATATCGTGACAATTAGGCCAGCCAGTGGAAAATAATTAACGAAAATCGTCGATTGTTTAATTTAAACTCGACCCGTTGTATAAACGCGGGTATGTGTAAACTCGACACCGTTTTGAAACTTATTCAATCCACGTATATATAATGGAAGAGGAGAATAAGACAATTTTTCCATCTGTGAACACACAGAAATGTTCCGTAAGATTTTCCATTCTCATCTCTCTTTCCTTTCGATATTAATTATCCTCCCCCTTTTCTTTTTAATTTCCAATGTCGAGTACTAGAAGAAATTACGATCTTATTACGAATTAAAAAAAAAAAAAAAGAAAGAGAGAAATTTATTTAATTTTTTCCATCCGTATTTCCTTCTTTGCCCTCCCCTCCCCCTCAATTTCAAAGACCGATATCCCGAGGCGGCGCTCGATCGATCGATCGTTTGTTATTACACGCGAGCCGCGTGTTAATTCGGTTTCCTCCAGCTAGCTAACGCGAGAATATACTTTAGTCCCGTGGAAACGAAACGCATTGATAATTATTTGATATTCGCTCGGCCGCCGAATAATTACACCTGTTTGTCTGCGGCATTTAATACGGCAAGTATTATTTGATTATTTGAGGCGGTTCCCTACTTATCCGTGTTTTATGAAATTTGGCCGGCCAAACGCGATCGATCGATCTCAATCGGGTAAAAAAAAACCGGCTCGATCGGAGGATGGGAGGAGGGGAAGTCTTTGGGAAAATAGTTGAAACGGAATTTCGAAATATATTTTTATTCTGTTTGTTTGTTTTTATTATTACTATTATTATTATATAGGATTTGAATTCAAGGTTTGGAATGCTTAAACGTATAATTGATAATAATTGAAATATATTTTATGATCAGTTTTTAGTATCTTTCTTCTCGAAGGATATTATTTTCTCCAAAGCAAGCAGTTTATTTTAAGCTCGCATTAAAAACAAGAAAAAACTTATTTAATCGCGTGTCGATTCGATACTCCAACACGATTCCCCTCTATTGTCCCCTCGTACGTGTCCTCCTCCCCTAATATCCTTTCGGAGGTCGGTGTAAAAAAAAACTTGGAAAACGAACTCGCGAGATACCATCGTTCGAAGCCTCACGTTCCTTCGAAGCAACCTCGAAGCAGTCTCGCCCCTCCTTTCCCCCCGTCTGGATTAAA